ATAAATAATAAATAAATTAAAATAAATAATAATATAATATATATATATATATATATATATATATATATATATATATTACAAATATAACTAAAAATCGTATATATAATAAGGAAAATTGTTTAGTTTAATAAAAGTAAAGTAAAAAATAAAAAATAGCATCAAAAATAAAAAACATTACTAGAAAACCAATTAAGTTAATTTTTATTAATAAAAAGTTAATTATCTTAGAAATTTTTTTCACTTTCTTTTTAAAAATTATTATCTTAGTAATTGTTTTCATTATCTAGCAAAATTTCACCAAAGCATTATTACTAATAATTATTATCAAGAATAAATTAGTCTTAGCTATTTTTAAGATGGAATTAACTTTAAAAATGTTAATCATTATTATTAAATTAATCGAAATCTTAATTTTATTATTTAATGTTATTATTATCTTGAAGTATAAAATCTTTTTAAATAAATAAATGAGGATCTTATTCATTAAAAATTTAATTAGATTAGTCTAAAACAGATTATTATTCACTAGGCTATAAAGTATTGTAAGGATTATCTTATTTTTATAGTTTAACGATTTCTTAGTTATATTTATTTGGAATTCTTTTAATCATGGTATTTTATTTATTTTTATTATTTAATTAACTTTTAGTATCATAAGTTTTTATTTATTTATATTCAGATTAAAATTTTTTCCTTAAATACTAAATTACATTATCAAATTTTTTCTTTAATTAAATCTTAACTTTTTTATTTGTATCCATTTATTTTATATCTATTTAATAGTTATATTTTAAGTCTTTCATTATTATTTGAGGTTTTATAAAGTGTATGCTTTAGATTTATTCGTTTATTTAATTTATAAAGTACTCTTAGTAAATGAAAAAACTTAGAGATTCAATTTTATTTATTTTCTTCTTTAGCTAATATTCTTCGTTATTCATCAAAGTATGATTATGCTAATCAAAACATTCTGAAAATTCGTACAGTTTATTGTTTTTTTTAAATATTAGTTTAAAGTTGCATTTATGTACCTTACAATCTAATCTTACAGGTAAAGTTTTCTTTTTGTCTTTAAACTTTCTCAAAAAAAGAAAACCATTAAGAGTGTCTTCCAGTTTAGGAATTAAATTTGTTAGTTCTTAAAGAGTATAAGGTTAGTTTAAATATTATTAGATTTTATGAATCATTTTTTTATTTTATTTGAAATTATATTAATTTTTTTATTTTAATATTTTTTTATAATGGAGTAATTATTTATATTGATTTTAAACTGTTTTTAAAAGATACACTCATTTTTTAATTTTATTATTTTATTTATTATTTGATTTTTTTTTTATTACTCTTTTTTTTATATATAAAATTTTCAAAAATACCACAAAATAAATTTTATTATTTTTTTTAAATCTTGAATTTTTATAAATATAAAAATAAATTAAATGTATCTTTTTTAATATAAAGATCATAAATTTAAATTTATATAGTTTAATTTTTTATTTATTAAATTTTTTAATTTTATTTACTTTTGTCAATTATTTCAGTATATTAAAAATTTCTTTGTTATTAGTATATTCTTTCACTTTTTTTAATCACAATTTTAAATTAAAATAAATTAGCATTTTTTTTATAAATAAATCAAAATAATATTTTTTTTCATGTTCATATAAAATAAAGTATATAAAAATATTATTTATAGTAATTATTTAAAAATAATTGATATATTTAATTTTAAAAAAATATTTTTAATTAATTAATTGTATTTTTATTGTAATTTTTAAAAATTAAAAATTTTAATAAATAAAATAAACGCTTTTAATTTATAATTAAATAAATATATAAAAATGGCAAATTAAATAAATTAAACATAATATAAGCATTTTAAACATTTTCAAAATAATATGCAAATAAACCTGAATTAAATATTTTCTCCATAAGATTTTTCATTTATAAAGGATAATTAAATTCCTATCTTATTGGATGAAATTTAATAAAACAAAGCAGATACAACCTAGAAAACCAAATAGAATCAAAACAAATAAAAATTTGAAAATAAAATAAATAATTCTTATTAAATAAAAGATTCTGAAACTAAAAAATTATAATAAACATATCATTAATAAAAAACATTAAATATGATAAAATTTCCATAACCATTATATTATGACAAAGAAACATACAAATATAAGAGAAATAGTGAAAATTTAAAATCATAAAACTAATAAGAGAAACAAAAATAAAATTCAAACATTATAAAATTTCAGGAAAATAATAATATTTTACAAAACGATAGAAATATAGATATATTTTAAGAAATAAAACAGTTTTCAGGTAAAATAATAAACAAAGCTTATTAATTTTTGCAAGAAAATATAAATAAAACATATTTAAAGTAAAAAAACATATATAATTAAATATTTAAAAAAATATATCAAATTAAGAAATTAATGCTCATGTGATCTTAATTTCTAAAATAATAAAAACTGTTCAAAAGCATTATCTTGGTTATTTTCTAAATATAAATAAGAAGAATTAAATTAGCTTAAATAAATATATTAATAAATTCAATAGGTTTAGCTTCCAAATATGGAAAAATATATTATTTAAATTGAAAAAGATATTTAAAGAACATATTCTTAATATTAAACTAATCCAAAAAGATTAAATACTTTAAAAAATGTTTTAAAATCTTTAGCTTACTATGATCCTAATATTGGTTATTTATTTCAAAAAAATATATTTATAATTCTTTTAAAAAAAGGTTATGTCTAAGGAATGAATATTATTGCTGCAAGTATTCTTTTTCATGCAGAAGAATATATATCTTTTTGGATTATTTAAATTTTGTTCGAAAAATTAGAAATGAGAGAAGTATACTAACCGCGTATGTATATATTATTTAAAAATATATATAAAAATAATATAGATTTGCCTGGATTATCAAAACATATATAACTTATTGATGTTTTGATATTAAAAAATATACCAGATTTATATCAACATTTTGTATATATAAATATGTATTTTATATTTATATGTTTATTTTAATATAGTGTTAGTAAAATTTCAAAGTTGAAATGTTTTGTGCTCCTTGGATTTTTTCTTTATTTTCAATTACAATACCTCCTTAAAAAATAGTAAAAATATCAAGAATTATAGTTAAAATATATATAAAAGTACTTATTTTATGAGTAATTATTGTAGGAAGGATGGTGTGCTTTTTATAAATTAATAATTACATTTTTATGTTTTTATAAATAAGAGCTAATATAATAAGAAATGAGTGATATTTTTTTTATTTTAACATAGGATAACTATAAATTTTAAAGGGTTGAATTTTGGGAATAATTAATAAATAATTCTAAAGATATTTATATAAATTAAAAATTTATTAATTAAATGCATGAATGTTTTGATATTGAAAAAAAATAATTTCATATTAAAAATTGAATAGTATAATAATCAATATATTTATAATTTTTGTAAATTAATATATATATAAAATAAGTTTAAGTAATTAAATCAAACAAAAAATTATAAACTATTAAATAACAATAAATAATTAAAATTTTTTAAATAAACAAATATCTAAATAATTTTTTTTTTTTTTTGACAATATTCTTCTTATTGACATATTCTTTTTTACAATAATTACTTTATTTATTAATATTTTAATTAATTACTTGATTATAGATTGGATTTTTATTTAAATTTTATAAAAAAGTCTTTGTTACTATCTTATTCTTGACTTTGCCTCTTATTTTTTTATTAATCCTCTTTTTTTCTATTCGATAAAGCTAATTAACTATTATTTATAGATTATTTTTATAGATTTTCTTATTTTTATAAATTACTTTCTTAAATATTCTTTTCTACAAAATTTTAATTTTCTTATTTATTTTTCAATTATGTTTTTTATAAAATTATTACATTTTTTTTTCTTAATGAACTAAACATTATTTTTTCAATGAAGTTTTTATTGATTTATTATCTTTAAACTACAATTAATTTTTATATTTAAATTTATTATTATTCAATATTAATATCTATTTTATTTTATTTCTTTTTATTTTTTTGATAAAAGCTATTTATCATTTTAATATTTTATCTAATTTTTTTTAAAAAATTTGAACATTTTCAATATTTTAATTTTATTCTAAATATTTATATTATTTTTCTATTTCTTAAAATTCTTTTTATTTTTTCTCTCTCCAATGATTTTTATCATTCGAAAAATATTTTTATAAATCTTATTCACACAATGTCGAAAATTAATCTTTATTTGAATTTAGAACTAATTTTTAATCCCTAATTTTCAACAATCTACTTTCAAATTCATTCATTCATTCGATTCTTTATTTTATTTTTTTAATTTTAATTATTAAATTAAAAAAATTAAACTAATAATCAAATATAATAATTTTATCATAGATAAAAATACTTGAAATTTAATTAATCTAATATACAAACAAAAATAAAAATACTATATAATTATAACAAATAATTAAAATCCTTTATTTAAAAAAATCATTTTAAAATTTTAATTAATCCTCCTCTTCTTTTTCCTGTATATTTAGAGTCAGGTCTCACATCCTTCCCTTAGGCTCTTTATCTTTCTTTTTTGTTTTGAATCCATTCTTTGCTTTTATACTTCGGTTTTTGGTTATTCTTACCCTTCAAAATTTTTTTTCTCCTATTAAAAAAAATTAATATAAAATAATAACAAAAATAAATATATCAAAACTCTCCATACTTATCTAAAGGATTAACTTTTGCTTCTTCATTATCAAGTTCATTTTTTCCTTCAATAAGCACAATATCATCTCCTCTATTATCTCCTCCAGCATTAATAACTAAATAAAGTTTTTTAGCCTTAGTGGAGTTAGGAAAATCAACAATAACGCCTCCATTAAATCCACATTTCATAGCTGTAGTTGTAATCATTTCTAATTATTAAGATCCATCAGGATAAAACTAAAGAACAGCTCTTCCTCCTTACTTTAAACTATTATAAAGACTTGTAAAAAATTTTTTTAATCTTTAAATTGGATTATGAGCCTTTTTAGAAGCTACACAAAGCCATTACAAAGCAGAAACTGAAATTGCTGCATCAAAAATACCATGTCGGAAACTAAAACCTTAACCCATATCAATTTCAAATATATCTCCTTATGTTTCTCTATCAATTGCTATGTTTAACATATCTCTTGATATGTCTATCCCTATCCATGTATGTTCATCTTCGCTTAATACTTCACCTGATAAACCACTTCCGCATCCTATATCTAGAATTAACTACGATTCATTTTCAGGAAGATTTAATAATTCAATACAACGTTCTTTTAATATTTTTTATTTTTATTTTTCTAAAAAAAAATTTACCTGTTAATTAATATTGGATATCTATTATACGAGTTGAATTCGAATATTTTGAAGCTTCATCTTTATTATAATACTTTATTTTATTTTTTAATTTAGTTGATGTTTCGATTTTTAGTTTTAGTTTTTTACTATTTCAGGCGGACATTAATATTCTGGTCTTGATCCCATTTTTATTAATTTTTTAATTTTAATTAAATTAAATTAAATTAACTTTTTATAATTTTGTAATAAAAACCAAAACAATATATTATTAATTTTATATTTTTTAAGATTTAAATTATATAATGCTTTTATATCTTTATATTTTTAAATTATTAATTAATTAATATATTATTATTTTCAAATAAATAAAAAATAATATAAATATATATATATATATATATATATATATATATATATATATATTATATATATATATTATATATTTATAAAAATATAACTCATTTTTTTAAAGAACATTATTTAAATTTGAATATTAAATAATATAATATGTACAAATACTTATTATTTTTTTAAAATAAAAATTTTAAAATTAAATTCATGAATACATATAAAATACAGAATATATAAAAATATTACACCAAAAAAACACAATATATATATATAATATTTTCAATAATTATCATTATAAACTTCGTTATCTTAAACATTTGTTTTAGTTACTAATTTGAACAAATAAGTTAGCCCTGAAAGAAGCAAAATAATAAAAATAACATAAGTAACAATTAAAAATACTTGAGTGAAATACGATGTAATAGGTGCTGAAGTTAAACAAGAATTGTATTCTTAATTAAAATAAAGTATGTTTGCATAAATGAACAATCCGAGCAAAAATAAGTAGAAAGCAATATCTAAGAAATCAAAAAATATAATTATATCTCTATTCTTATATTTAGGAACCATTATTATCAATAAATATGTTCCTCTTATTATTAGACTGTAAAATACTAAATCTACTAACAAATTTAAATTTAAACTGCATTTTTCTTACAAATTTCTTCTTTCTATTACTCCGGAGGCTGCTAAAAATATTAAAGTGAAAAAAAAATGGGCTCCTTCAGACGATCTTAATCTTGTTTTTGCTTCGATTTCAATCATTATAATATAATTTTTATTTTTATTACAAAATTAATTTTTTTATATTATATATATTATTTAATAATAATTAATGCATATGCATATGTTTTTTATTTTCTTTATTTTCAAATGATCTTTTTTTCTGTTAAATATAAATTTTAATTATATATGTTAGTTTTATTTAAACAACTTTTTTTGATAAATAATTCTTTAACTTTATTGATTTATAAAGTTATAAATAAAAAAAGGAATAATTTATTTTTAATATCATAAATATTTAAATTAGTAAATACAAAGATATTTATATAATTTATTTTTTATCACAAAAAAATATATTTTACATTATTTTAATAAAAATTTAAATATATAAAAAAATGATTTCTAAGATAATAAAAAACACTAATTTATTTAAATATTAAAAAAATATTCTAATTATCGAATTCCTGAATATTTTTAAACTCAACCAATAATAGAAGTAAAATAAATTAAAAAATTAATAATCGAAATCGAAAATATATAGAATCAATATTAAGTTACCAAAAAATTAGAAGTTCCTAAAGAAATTCCTTCCCCTGAATATGTTGGTAAAAATAATAAAAAATATAAAAAAATAAATATAATAGATAATCCAAATCCAGTGTATGGTTTATATCACGGATCTCCAGTAATACACAATAAAGAAACAATAGAATGTAAAAATAAATAAATATAAAAATCTTAAAAAATTTTAAATTAGGTTTAAGAAAAGCTGGAAAGTTAGCAAGTTAAACATTGTCACATTTAGCAAGTCATGTAAAAGCAGGAATAACAACAGATGAATTAGATAAAATATGCCATAAGTTTATAATTGATAATGGAGCATATCCAACTGCATTAGGTTTTATGGAATTTCCAAAAAGTGTATGTACAAGTGTTAATGAAGTGATTTGCCATGGAATACCAAATACTCGTCCCTTGTATAACGGAGATTATATAAATTTAGATGTAACATTATATAAACATGGAGTTCACGGCGATAATTCTCTCATGGTAAAAGTAGGAAATGTTCATCCGAAAATATCTAAATTAATTGAAGTTACATAAATGGCTGTTTATGAAAGTATTAAAATTTGTAAACCAGGTGTTAAATTTAGAAAAATTGGCGATATTTGCTAAGAAATTGCAAATTCTAATGGATTTCATGTCTGCGAACTTTTTACAGGGCATGGAGTCGGAAAATTATTGCATATGCCTCCTATTGTTTTTCATTCGAAAAAATCAGAAAGTGAGAGCCCTTATACTATGTAACCTGGAATGGTTTTTACAATTGAACCTATATTTTGTATAGAGGAAGGTAGCTATTATTAATGGGATGATGGGATGACTGTTGTTTCACCTTATAATCCTTCTGCTTAGTGGGAACATACTATTTTAATTACTGATGATGGACATGAGGTTTTTACTTTAAGGGAGGGGGAGAGAATAATATGAAGAAAATATTTATGTTTTTTATTTTTTTATACTTTTTTTATTAATTTTCCAATATTTTAAACAATTTTTGATTATCTTATATTATTTTATTGTTTTTTAATTAATAAAAAATCAATAATATTAAAATTTAGCTATAGAAATAAACTAGAACTAAAACTATATAAACATGCCAAAGTTTAAAAAATAACACTTTTAAAGATGATAAGATAGCTATATTTTATAAAATAAATTTTTGAAATTCTTATATAATATAAAATTTATTAAAAATTGTTTTATTTTTTAATTATTTCATTTAGGATATTAAATAAGCAAATTAGATAAAAAAATTACTATTCATTAAGTTATTAGACTAATATTCCTTTGGGAAAGTTCAAAAAAAAGACATTTAAAAAAATAAATTATAGCAGTTAAAGTAAAAAAACTCTAGAGGTGAATGTAAACTTGTTTATAGATTTTTTCCGTAATTTTATAAAAATACTCAATAAATAAAAATTAAATACATTTTTTATTTTTAATAGACTTTTCTTTTGATAATAAGTTTTTTAAAAAATTGCAAAAAATAAAAAACCTATAAAAAATTATTACTATACTTTGAAATTTTTTAGAATTATTAAATGCATGTTTCTTATTATTTAATTAAATATTTAATATTTAATATTTAATATTTAATATTTAATATTTAATATTTAATATTTAATATTTAATATTTAATATTTAATATTTAATATTTAATATATAATATTTAATATTTAATATTTAATATTTAATATTTAATATTTAATATTTAATATTTAATATTTAATATTTAATATTTAATATTTAATATTTAATATTTAATATTTAATATTTAATATTTAATATTTAATATTTAATATTTAATATTTAATATTTAATATTTAATATTTAATATTTAATATTTAATATTTAATATTTAATATTTAATGTTTAATTTTTTTTTTTTCTAAAAAGATAATAAAAAGTATATAAATATTTATATTTTTTTATTAATATTAAGATTTTTTATGGGGAGGGGTAGAACAATGTTTATTTTATTTTTTTACTATTTAAAGGGAGAGGAAGATGTTATCTGAATGGGACTCTAAATATGAGCTGGGATCTAAATTTTACGATAAAATAATTAATTGTCTATATTTTTTTTAATTAATTATATTAGATTTTCTTTTAAATTCATTTTTATAATATTATTTGTATTGCTATATTTAAATTTTTTATATAAAAAGAGTCGATTTAATAAACAGATAAAAAGGATATCTTATAATTAAGAAAGTTAGATAAATATTTAATAGTTATTTTAAAATTAATATTAATTTGTTCATTTATTAAAAATCTAATAGAAATAAAAAAAAGTATTGCCCATTTTTTTTTTGAATTTAAAAAAAATAAGACAAAAAAAAATAATATATGGTTTTTAAAAAATAATTATATTAAATCTTTTAATTATATTAATATTAATATCATAAGTATTGATATAATTTAATTTTTAATAATCTATTCAACCTTCAATTATTATTTTTAAGTTTAAGATATATATTTTAATTTTTACAATATAAATAAAGAGCTATGTAATAATGTATATATAACGAGAATGTAATTTAAAGATACTTTATAAATAAATAAATAAAATTAAGTAATTTTTATATAAATATAGTTTTAAAAAATAACATATACATAAATATATTTAATATAATGTGTTTAATGAGATTTATGTATTATTTTATTAATTATCATTATACATTTTTATTTTAAACCTTAATATTTTTTAAAACTTTTAGGACATCAGAATCTTAATACTAATTGTCAAATATATTTTAACTTTCTTAATCATTTTATAAAAAAATTTCATCTAAACTTAAAGTATATAAATAAGGAGATTAAATTAATACTTAAAATTATTTTATAGCCTCAGATGAATTACCCTATTGTATGCTTTGTACAAATATTTTTTCTGCATTAGAAATAATTTCATTCTATTATTTTACTATTACATTATATTTAGTAAATATTTTTTATAAATTATAAATTTAAAAAGATTGTAAAATTATTATATGAAAAATAAATATCTTTATTAATAAAATATTTATAAAAAGAAAATAAAATAAAATATTAAGTTAAATATTAATTTTTATAAGGTATTTATATATATAATTTTTTGCATTTTAAATTCACCTATATTATCTACATCTATTCTATTATTTTATATTTTTTTATGTAGAAAGTGATCTCATTTTTCCCAATTTATTTTAATTATTATTAATATCAAGCTATTATTGCTATTATTATTTAATTTATTAAATAAAATTTTCAATAGGAAAATTATTTTTAGCTATAAGCAGTAATGGAGAGTCATTAAAACAAGAAAAAACTCTTTTTTTCTGTTAATTTTAAATTTATTTAACTTCTTATTATTTTTAAGCTTAATTAATATTATAAAATAAATTATTATATAATATTTTCGTATTAGTAGTTTATTTAGTTTTTTACTAAAAATTATCTTAAGACACATTTCTTTAAGAATTTTGTCTTTTAAAATTTTTAATAAAATTATTATTTTAGAGAGCACTTTTTTACAAACTTTAATTAGTTTTATTTCTTCCAAAAAAAATATCTGCATTTTAATTCTTGTTTTGCTAATATTCCTATTTTCTTTATGTTTTTAAATTTGATTATTACATTTCATGTTATAAAATCTATTTTTTTACACAAAAATTATTAATTTATTTCCCTATTTTATTTTTTAGGACAATTTTGTAAGAAGGTACGAATAAATTTAATGATTTTTTTTAATTTAAATTTGATTATTATAAATATTATTAACTTTTATCTTGTAATTATGAATTCGTTTTTTTTAATAAACGGAAGTTCACATTTAAAATCTATTATTAAAATTTATTTTATTATTTAAAATTTTAAAGCAATTTATTTTAGATATCCTTTTAATTTATAGACAGTTATTATGAATCTTCTTCCTATTTGTTAACTTCTGTTTTTTTAAACTTTTAGAATTATTATTACCAGTAATTTAACTATCTTAATAGTTTCTATGTTTATTTTTATTTTATTTTTCTTTTATCCAAATCTTTTTAAAGACTAAATTTATATTTTCTGCATTTTTAATAACATTTTTTTTCTCAGGTTTTTAAAAAAACTTTAAGCTAAAATTATTTTATATTTTTTCTAAAGTTTTATTTTTTTAATTTTTCTTTTCCTATTTAATATTTTTCAGAAAAGGTTTATTCTAAATTTCAGTTTTAGAGATCAATTATTTTATACTTTAAAAAGATTAACTAATTGAAAAAAAATTTTTTTCATCCAATATTTATTTACTTGAAGTTATGCTTATTGATCCTTTGCTTTTCCAAAAACTTTAATTATTTTTATCTTCTTTAAAAAATGAATAATTTGTCTTTTTATATGCATAATTTCTGCTTATATCGGTTAATAAATTTTAGCATTCTTTTAAATTTCGAAGTTATTGTGAAATATTTACTTTATTTTACTCGTTACTGAAACTCTCTTCACTTGAATCTGGCTAAAAAGATTATTTTAAATTTAAAATTTGCCTTAATTTATCATATTCAATTTTCCGCTTTTTATTATGAAATTTGTTAATTATGTTTTCTAAAGGTTTTATATATATCCGAGGAATTTCAGTACTATATTTATAGTATTCTGTAAGTTAATTTATTTAAATCTTATATATTTTGTATTCATAGAACTACTTTAAATGTTCTTCAATTTAATCAAATACTTAATTATCTTTATAATTAATTATTATTTTTACCATATTTTAATTAATTTTATTTTGATAATAATAATTCTAAGATGAAGAATATTTATTATATAAAGCATTATTTAATAGAATTTTTTGTCCTTTTTATTTATAAAATTTGTCACAAAAAATACATTTTTAATTATCTTCTTCTTAGCCTTTTTTTAATATTTTTCTATTTTATTTAATTTATTTTGTTACTTTTTTGTAAATTTAGTTTGGACATTTTTATTTACAATTTTACCTATTTTTATATTTTTAATAAAATAATTATTTATTTTTTAAATGTTTTATTTATCAAAAAATTTTAATTTAATTATTTGTAAAGTTTACAATTTTTATTATTTTTATCAAAAAAAATTAATTAAGATTTTATTATAAACAAAATAATTTATTATTATATTTTTTTAATATAAAAGAAACAATTCAAAGTTTCAATTTTATAAAAATAAAAAAATGCATTTTTATAAAATAAAATTTTAAAATTTAATTTTGGTATATATATTGCCTTTAATTTTTTATAACAAATAAATAAAAATTGGAATGAAAAAATAAAATTTTATTTTAAATTAGAAGAAATAAAATTGAAAAAGTATATTTTATTTAAAAATAATATAATTTTTTTCAAATTTCAAACCTACAAACATTTTAGTTAATTTTTTAATCAATAATCTATGTTTAAAATGAATATTTATTCAATGTTTAAATTTAGCTTTAAATTTTATGTTTTTCATCCAAAACTATTTCAGGAAGATCTTCGAACCCTAAAAATGATTAATTTTAATTTTAATTTTTTTCAAATTTTAAATCTTTATAAAATTATTTATTTTCAAATTATATATTAACTTAATTTTTATCCAAAATATAAAGATCTTAATATAAATAAAACCAAATTCTAGTCCCTTTATTATTTCTAGTATCGATGAATATATTTGATAAAGGCCCTAAACATTTTATAATTTACTAAGCATTTTTAAGTCCAAAACACATAGAACTATTAAGAAAATAAATATTAAAATATTTATATAAAAAATTGTACTTATAATTTTTATTATTGCTTTAATGATTATTATAATCAAGCAATTATCGAATTTTTTAAAGATTATTTTCAAACCCTTTTCCAGAATCGCAAATAACGATTTTAAATATATTCGAAAGACTATTTTTACCTTCTAAAAGTATAATCTTGAGAATAATATATCCTTTATCAGTCCAAGTGAGAGAATTTTTGATAAAATTAATTAGAAGTTATTTAATTAAGCCAATATCAGAAATTATATCAAAATCTTAATTATTTTTTTATTAATTTATTTTGGAAATAAAGAATTTGATTTATTAATTGTATAATTTAGGATTGCCCTAAACTACTAAATAAATATCATTTAAAATTTTATCAATTTTTCGGGTTTATATTTCAGTTTATATCTAGATTTTAGACCATAAAAAATGGCTTCTAATATTAAAAAGTGTATTAAAAATAATAGCAGATTCATAATTAAAAATCGCAAGATTAAAAGGGAAATTCGTATAGAGAAATTAATGAATTTAGCTATTATTTATTTAGGAAAAGATTTTTTAAATTCCTAATTTAAGATTTGAAATTAAATTATTTATTATATATTCATTACTAATACTAACTTATTTAAAAAAAAATTTTTCTTCTTCATCTGTTTCTTCTTCAAGTACAATCAAACAAAAATACTATCCTATGTAATAGTTTATGATTTTTACTTTATATCTTATATTTTTGTTAGTCTTTTCATCTAAATATTATCCGGAAAATATATCCATATTCAAATCTTGTTTTTCGGTTTTTTTTACTTATTAAGAATCTGTTAATATTTATTGATTAGTTTTTTATAATATTGTATTATTGTTCGTTTTTAAGTTATTCTTTTCATTTTATGTTTTCCCTTTGTTTTTAGTTTAGCTTAATCTTGATTTTTATATCTGTAAAGAAGATTAAACATTTTATTTGCTTATAATTTGTTATTATTTTTATGAACTATTTTACATTTTAAAAGTTTATTTAGTCTAATTAGTTATTGATGTAAACTACTAAGTTAACTTCTTATTTACTGTTTTTACCTTTACATATTCTCTAAACTTTGTATTAATATACTAAATCAAACTCTATTTATTTATAATGTTACTATTTAAAATAGATGAATATTTATTATTTTAAATAAAACTTTTTTAATGAGGTTCTAAATATATTTTTTTTGCAAAAATACTCCATCCTTCAGTATCTATAACCTTAAAAACATTTTATGCAGAAACATTCGCCAATTCAAGATTTATTTAGTCCATTTTCTCATCATAATTTACTAAGATTATACTTGAAGGAAGTGCTTTTTTCATAATATTTACCCATTTTTTTTCCCTTTCACGCAAAAGGAACATTTCTCTTTACGATTTTTCCTTCTCATATTTACTAAAGCATGAAAAAAGTGCTATAAACATCAAAAATAAATGAAAGGTTGTAAATCCTTTCTCTAAAAATATGAATATATACACAAAATAAGAACTAAGCATTCCGATTGTATTTAATATAAAATTTGTTCCAAGCATTAAAATTATATTATGACTAGTTCCATGTGCAGCTTTTTTTTTTTTCATTAGAAAAAAAAAAAAATAGAAAAATATTTTACCTGCAAATACAAAGAGTATGTTTTTTCCAAATTATACTTAAGGATTTTAATCACTTATTTATAAATAATATATATTTATAAACATTGTTAATAAATGATATAATGCTAATAGCATATTATAGGACTTTGGAATTAACTTAATTAATAATAATGATGACAATGTTATTATTAACAATACTACCCAAGATAATGCTAAAAAATATTAAAATTTAACAAATGATATTACAATAGAAGGAAATTAAACAAATAATCCTAGTAAACCTAAATAATATTTTAATATTTTATAATCTCGAAAGTATGACCATTAAAAATATGTATTTTCTAATTATTGATCTTTAAAAATAAGTGTATATTTTTTCATAATACAATTATTTCTTTTTTTAGGTATTATATTGTTTAACTTTTTATATATTTAAATATTATTAAGTAGAAATATTATAATGATTGCTTATTTTTTAAAATTTATTAAATTATATGATTATCTTTTTGCTAATTTGTATTATTTTATAAATATTACTAAATATTAACTATTTTTACTTTGTGAATTTCTTTATGTAATTTTTAAGTTGTGAATTCCTTTATGTATTATATAAATAGTTTATTTAAAAAAAAATATTTCTTATTGACTAAAATTAAATTAATATATCGTTTGAATTTTTTAACAAAGTTTACAAATTGTTAGAAATAATTTAAACGAAATGAAACTAAAATTTTAATTTTATAAAAATAATTTTAGATATTTATAAAAAATAACTTCTTAATTAATACTTATACATATATAAATATTTTGAATTTACCTTTATTTGTCTTAAATTTTTGTATTTATTTTAATAAAAAAAAAATATGTATAATATAATATTTTTAAAAGTAATAAAAAAATATTATTTTTAAATTAATTATAAAAAAATAATTAATGAGGCTTTATTTGATCTTATCTTTGATAAGACAGGTATAAAATAAAATTCTAAAAAGAATAGAAAAAAAAATTTTTTAAGTAAAACACATAAAAATTAGAAAAAAGTAAAATATAAAATTATAAAAAATGTAAAATCATTAATTAACCTAAGAAGCATTAGAAACAATAAATGAAATAGCCAAAAATTGTAATTAAGAATTAAATCGTCCTCCTCCATCTCCAACCTATAAATAAAAGAAAATTTTACTAATAAGACATGGTTTTTCTTAATACAATTATAAATGGGATATTTTCAAATAATAAAACTAAGGCTAATCAACGCACAATGAAAAAGCTAAACTAGTACGTTTAGATCCTCATAATATAGATACTCATTTGCACGAAATAGGTGAAATATAATCTAAATAATAATAAAAATACTTTAATGAGCTAAATATACACTCCGTTTTGGTTTCTCCTTTATTTAGGGCTTTGTAAACTGCAGATATTTTGTTTTAAAATCATCCAAGAAAAAATGAAATAAAATTTTTGGTTGTTCCTGAACTTTCAGAAGGTTTATGTTTTTCGTGCTCAATTGCTCCTTTTGCCTTTTCAGAAAAAAGAAAATAATAATTTTAAAATTTCGATTTTTCTTTTGGAGAAAAATTCTAAAATAAAATACTTTGGCAAGTAGAACAATTGTAATGTGACTAAATTTTCCAAAAATTATAAAAGGAACTGTAAAATATTCAAAACGAAGATGAGTTTTCGGCTAAAGTAGTTGAGGAATTATAAAAAGTATATCCTTAATATTTAGAGACACATGATCACTTATGGCTGAGAGCTCAAAAAGCAAAATAGTTTATATAATGTTATTTAAACTAAGTGCCTGAAGGATAATAAATAGTTATTGTAGCACATTACGTACTTATTTTGTATTTAACTAGTAGTGAAAACAAAGGATACCATAATATGGATGGAATCAAATGTTAAAATGCAAGTATTAAATATTGGGATATATGATTCTTTTTATACATTAATTTAATTTTTTTATTATAAATTAATTAAATAAAAATTGATTATATAAACTAGTAATATTAATTTTTTTTTATAAAAAATAAATTTTTATAAAAAGATTTAAATTAAAATTCTATGATATTGATTCTTATTAATTCAATGTTTTTTATTTTTTAAAACACACAAATTTCGATATTATATACAGAACAATATTTTAATATTTTTTAATTAAGAAAAAAACTCAATAAAAATTGATTTCAAAAATATCAATGACCTCTTATAAAAGTAAGAATACGTTTTCGTCTATTTTTATAATATGAAATTCAAAAAGTATATTAAAATAGTAAATTAATAATCCAGAAATAAAAATATTTTTAGAAAACTCAACTCCAAAAGTAAAAGAAGAGGAGACTATCCAAAAGAAAGCATTTAATTTCGATTATATATTTGATAAAAAAGCCATTATTAAAATATATATGATAAAGCAAAAATATATTATTTATTAAGTTAACAATTCAATATTGTAATTCTCCAATATTTATATACCTTAATATATATTAAATAATAATAATTATTTAACACTACAAATATAGATAGCAATGAAATTTTAGAACAAAAAATCTCTGTGGCAAATTTAAATATTTTAAAAATACTTACATATAATAAAAGGTATAATTCATCTTAAATTAATCCTTAATTTTTTTTAGCCACAAATAATAACCCTTAAGTGAATTTGTTATAACAAATTTCGGAATATATGCCTTTTACTAAACTAATATTCCTCCTTTATTTTAATAAAAATAAAAAATTAATATGGTTCTTTTTTACCTCCTAAGATATGTCAAATAATTTAAGATTAATACTAATGTAAAAAATAAAAATGGATTTTATTATTAAAATCCTTAAAATAGAATGGTTCCTTTAAAGTAAATAAATGGAAATAATTCACTTCATTAAATTTATGAATAAAACAATGATAATTAATTAAATGTAAAAAAATTTGTAATTATATGTACTTACTATTATAAAAAAAACAAAAAAAATAAAAATAAGGCCAACTCTTCATTTTTTTTCACAAACTATTAAAATAAATATTATTCCTTTAAGTATTGATATCTTTGTACTTAACTGTTTATATATTTATTTTCTCATATTAATTTTAATTAAATATAATATTATGTAATAGTAAATAAGCCTTAAAAATAAATTAACAAATATTCTTACAAATAAAAAATGTTTACATATTAAAAAATGTACTTAAAAAATATAATTAAACTTCAGAATATCAATTGCTTTACTTTCTCTAATTAAAATTTATATTGTAAATTAAAAAAAAAACATAAAATCCATAAAAATAAATAAGCAAATATGTAATATTTTATCTAAAATAAAAAAAGAAATATTAGGAGTTAATCCAAGCAGTTCAACAGACGAAATAAAAAAAGCATACTATAATTTAGCTTAAAAAGTTCATCCTGATAAACATGAAGCCTTAAAAAATTAAAATCCATTAATGTCATTTTCATAAATTAATAGGTTAAATATTTTTTTTTTTCATATTTAAATAATTTATACATAAAATTAAAAACAAAAAAGTGCATATTAAGTATTGGGAAATGAATAAAAAAGAAAAGAATATGATTTTTAAAATGGTTTTTTTTAATAAAATCAAGATTTTTATTCAAGTTCTTTTTCAAAACAATTTACAAATAATGATTTTGCAAATACAACATCTAAATTTTTTGGAGAATTCTTTAATTCAGAATAGGAATTTATGCAAGAATATCTGAGGAAGGCTGCTTAAAATGGCAATGCAAACAACAAAAATAAACAACATAAATAAAAAAACCAAAAAAGTAAATTCGATTAAGTAAATTTTGAAGAAATATATGAAGAATATGAAAACGAAGAAGAAGATTACTAATATAAATAAAAAAATAATAATAAAAAGGGGAAAAACATTTTTAAAATTGTAGAAATATCCGAATCTTTAGCATAAAATGGAGGAATGAAATTTATTATAATATAAAAAGAAATAGTTTGTAAATGTGTATTTAAAAATAAGGGAAATTTTTGTTTTATTTGTAAAGGAAAATAATACTTAAAATAAGATATTAAAGTTAGAATCGAAGTACCTAAAGGTGTTTAACATAATTAAAAAATAGAATATCCAAAAGAAGTGCTTTAAATATTTATTTTTAAATAAATATATTTTTTGTTAATTTACAGGGAAATTTGAATAAAGAATTTTAAAATCCAGGTGATTTAATAATATAATATAAATTATATTAGTCAAAAAAAGACAAAATAAACAATAGTAATACTTTTTAATGTTCAATTACACCTGCCCAAGTAAACAAAATCTTTTTTTATTATGTAAATAATTTAGAAGGCTGTATTAGGAGGAATATATAAATTTTAAACAAAATAAGGAGAAATAAAAATTAATATACCTAGTGGAATTCAATAAGGGTTTAAATTAAAGATTGATGTAAATAAATAATATATTTATTATTCTATTAAAAAAAGAGAGAAGAAGATGAAGAAAGTGATTATGTAGTGTTTAATATTTAAATACCTAAAAAGTTAAGTCAAGAATAAAGATAATTATATCAATAACTATTAGAATTGGATTGAAAATAATAATTAGAATTAAAATATTTATTTTGTATTATTTATAAAATTGCAAAAAAAATATTAATATTTTAAATATATAGAATATAAATCATAAACAACTTATAATTACTTGTTAAATTTTCTAGCATTTATCTTCATTACTTTAACACCAAGTAGTTAATTTTAATTCTGAAAGTATCTTTTAGTAATCATTATCTTAAACTCCTTAATTGAATTCTTACAAAAATGCACCCCCGTTTGAAGCTGCAATCCCAACCAAAATATTGATTAAACATTAATCAAAAGTAGTTTTTTAATAAAATTCTTTCATATTATTTACTAGTTGTTCTAAATATTAAAGATAATAGATTTGAGCTTTCTATTGACTAATTTAACCAGAGTTTTCCATCATATTTTCTATATCTAAATTATCTCTAAAAAAGAAAGATTTTAAATCAAGAGCAGAAATTGAATTAGTTAAAAAAGTAGTTTATTCTTTTGAAAAAGAGGTAATTAATTAAACTTAATTTTCTAATTAAAGAATAAATTCATTTGTAGGTAAACAACTACATTTTCCTAATTCATTTAAATCAATAATTTCTTTTTGTGCTTCTGCTTTGATTTCTTCTGATAAGTCCTTTTCTTTATATTATCCTGTTCTCAAAAAGTTCATTCTAGTTACTTTATATGCATAAAATTAATTTTAGAATCCACAATTTTACAAATGGTTTTCATTCTAAGTTTAAGAAGCTCCGAAAATATTAATGGTTTATTATTAATGAGCTGAATTTTTAACAAAAATTGCCTTTTTAATATTTATAATATAAATATATATATTGTATATTTAAATTTATAAATAAAACATTAAAAAATCCGTTTCCAAGATATTACTAAGCAATAGCTTTTTAATAAGAAAATTTTATGTCTTTATTATCCAAACCACAAATTTATAAGACAACAAAAATTTTATCATTTTACATTTCTAAAGTTTATATTGCTTATTCAATTTCAGTTTTTTTATAATCTTCAATAACATATCCTTTTTCATATTGCAAACTACATTCAACTTCGAAGTCAATACTTTGAAATTCTTCCAAAAAAATACTATTTCCTTATTCATCCTCTAAACCACTCAAACTTTCATTCAATTAACTTTAACAAAATAACGATTAACATTATTCTTTGATTTCTAAAGTCAATCTTTGACTATAAACATTTTTAAAAAATTTTTTATTATGTGCGATATTTACTAAATTTATAGGATTAACTCTTTAATTTTCAACAAAAACTCCTATTTTAGCTAAAATAATTGCATAAATAAGTACTATCTCTCCTTCTTATCCATTTAACATACTTTTTTAGAAATCTGAGTTTTTACAATCTAAAGTACTATCAGCAAACTAAGGTAAGACGTTTTTAAAATTCTAAAATTCACAAAAGGCATCATCAACTAGCTATATATTTGCATACAAGGCATTATCTTGAGCATACAAGTTATCAAATTACTAATGAAAACTTTATTATTATGAATTACTTGGGCATTATTTTTCATCTATTTCATCATTATCACCAATTTCTTCACTTTCATCAATTTCATAAATATTTTCGTCTTCAGAATCCTAATTTTCTTATAAACACATTCCATCTTCATTTGGATATACTTATTCATAAGAGGTACATAAAGTACATTCATTATCTTTGCTTCCTGTACATTTTGAACAAGAAAAATGACATTTTTCACATTCTAAGCTTTCAATATTCCAGTAAAAGCCCAAAATACATTCTTCACAAGTACTTTTTTGAGAACATAAAACACAGCTTTTTGCACAGCTTTCACATTTATTTTCGCTATTCAAAAAGGTTCCTAGAGCACATTTTTCCTCAACTATTTATTACCCATTACTAACACATTCTAATGAATCTTCTTTAGCTGAAAAGCCTTCTGGGCATTACAAAAAGCACTACATTCTACCATCTGTTGTTTTTATAAAGTAAGACATCTCTTCTTGACATTTAAGACAATTTTCAGACTAATCTGAACATGTTTAACATGAAAAATGACAAATGTTTTAACTAATTTCTTCTTCTACTTCTACTACTTCTTCTTGTTCCTATATACAGAAACCATTTGATAAATATAAACCTCCTTTACAAGTTGCACATTCAGAAGCGGAAGGTCCAATACATTTTTCACAGGAATCGTGACAATTTTCACACTCATAAGGGTATTCAATGGATCTAAATTAGCCAAGAGGACATTACGAATCAACTGAAGAACATTTTTCTGGAGTTTCTATACAAATTCCATCTATATTTAGTGAATATCCAATGAAACATTTTTCACAATTTACAGAGTTATTACATGTTTCACAAAAAGGAATACACTTTTCGCATTTTAAATCTGTTACATATTCACCTTATTGGCATGATAAACATGTTTTTTTAGTTTTTATATATGAATCAGGGCAGCTATCTAAACACTAGTTTTTATAAAGAATAAATGGACTTTTACATTCCAAACACTTTTTCACGCCTTCTTCTAATAGACATTATTCACAGTTTGATATTGTACATGGAATGCATTAATTATCCTTTAATTCAAATTAATTTTTACATGTTAGACATTTTGATTAATCTTTTGAACATTTAAAACAGTTTTCTATTTCACATTACTCACATATATTTTAAAATCCTTCAGTCGGACTTTTTAGAAGTTTTTATTCAGTTTCTGAGTCAAACTCACCTTTTTTTAATATTTTTTTATTTTTATTATTTTCATTTTTTTTTATAAAAAAACCTGTCAGTTCTAAAATATCACTTGAATTATTACAATTCCATAAACTTTGGAAAGCTAAGACTATTGTTTTATGAATTGAATTTTAGTTATTTCTTACTGAAAAGAGGCCTGAATATTACTTTTTTTTTAATTTTTATTAAAATAAAAAAATATATATTTACATCAAAAACAAATTAGGGATCTGATTTTAAAAGTTTAGCTTAATTTTAATTAGAGACTGAAAAAAAAGCTCCTGTACACAATTTGCACTATCCAAAAGAATCTCCAATCATTCTTATAGTTTCTTCTGACCCACAAAAAGAATTTTATTCATACCATTTTTAATATAGATAAAACTGTGGTAAATTAACAAAAGCATAATTTAATGTAATTTTTATTCTTTCTAATTATAATGATTTTTCTATTTCTACAAAGGTCTTTTTTTCCAAAATATTAATTGTATATAGTGGTTTTCCTACTTGTGTAGTATAATCAATTCGAACTATTTAATCTCCTTTCACTATTCCACAGCATTATATTTTTTGAACGTATTAAAGAATTTAATCAGAAAGTCCTTTTGCATAATCTTAGTCGTTACATGAGGCTCGTTAAAGAACGTCTTTTACGGATAATGATTGAATTTTTATTAATAAAATTGATAATATTAATATATTTATTTTCATGTTTTTTTTTATTATAAACATTTCTTATATTTTATTTTGATTTTTGCTAATGAATTATCTTATTTTATTTTTATTTTATTAAATAATTAAATAATTATTTTATTTTTACTAGAACCATATATTATTTTTTAAAAAATTTTAAAAATTAATATTTTTCTTTAATTAAAAGTTTATTGTTATTTATTATAGATTTAATTTTTAAAATATAAAAAAAATGTTTTATATTCTTTTTGAATAGATTCAAATCAAAAAATTAATAATCATGAAATTATAAAAAATAAATTATTTTAATTGAATTTTTTTGAATAATATTAATTTTATGGTATATTAAATATATTAATTAAAATACTTTGTTTCATTATTTAATAATAAAATTTAACCTTTAAGAAAAAAAAAAAAAAAAAGTATTATATTTTATAAAAATATAAATAAAATAAATTATATTTATATTATAAAATAAAAGAAACAAAACAAAAATATAAATAAATCTATAGTAAATGTCTGTACCTTCATTTATTTTAAAAACATATGAAATTTTAGAAGTAAATAATTAAATAAAAACAAAAATTTATACAAATTCAAATTTCAAATAATAAATAAAAACTAAATTATAAATAATATTATAGAATCCTTAAAATTAGAATATAATATGTTGGAATAATGATGGATTATCATTTGTAGTTAAAAATATGAATTAATTTTCAACAAAAGTTCTTTCAAATTATTTCAAGCATAGTAACTTCGCATCTTTCGTTAGGCAAGTAAAATAAAGCATGAATGAACTAATAATTTTTATAATTTTATATTAACATTTTAAAAATTTAATTTTTAAAATAATTTTTTCTATAATTAAATCTTTTATTAATTTTATTTAGTTGAATATGTATGATTTTCATAAAATAAGAAATGAAAATAATGAAAGCGAATTTCGACATTATTTATTTTAAAGAGGAAAAAAGTATGTAATACTATATTTTATAAAATATATATTTTAAGAAAAATATATAAAAAAATACATTTTTTTTTGTTCAGAAACTTATTAACAGAGATAAAAAGAAAGAATGCTGAACTTTAAAATATTATATAATAAAATTAATAAAAAGTTGAAAATAATGAACCAGATAAATATAAAACTGAAATAGAATATTTAAAATAATAATATAATAATATTTTACATGAAGTAATTTAAGCTAAATAAAAACAAAATGATCTAGAACTTTCTAATAGGTAAACCTAAGTAGAAATACAAAGATTAAAACAGGAAACTTATAACTTAAATTAAGAATTATTAAAATAAAAGTAAGTAAAAAAATATATTAAATTTCTTAAGAAATAATAAAAAATTTAGATAAATAAATGAATAAAAAACAGAAAATATTTATTATTTATTATCATTTTGTGTAACTAATTTATAAAATAATGATCCTTAAAAAGAAATATAATCACAAGTTTAATAGATGTAAAAAAAAAATGGTGTAATTTTTTTTTTTTAATTTTGTTTTAAAATTAATAAAAAGGAAATTATTAAATATTGTCCAGTTATTTTTAAATAAAAAAATAACTTGGCAATAAATGAGTAAAATTTATAATCTATAGTTGAATAATTAAAAGGTTAAGAATAAAAATTAATAAAAGATATATTTTAAAAAGATATGAATAAACAAAATATCTCACTTTTTGAAAATAATTTTAAAAAAAAAGTATGTATTGATAATCTCAAATAATTATAATATGGTATTAATGATTAAAATTAACAAAAATAAGAAGAAAATAATAATAATTCAGAAAATAATTATTTAAACAATACGATGTTATATTCACCTAATTTGTTTTACAATTTGTTTGGGTCAAACAATAATTTCGAAAGTCCATTAATTATAAGGGATATTGGAGAATTTTAAAATATGGAATATAAATAATGAATTAATTAATTTTAAATAATATATATATATGTGAATCATTTTATTTATAAATATATTATTTTATATAATGTATTCTTTACAATTAACTAATTATTATTTAAAAATAATATAAACGATAAAAACTATTATAGTAAAAATTTAATATTAATATTTGATAATAAAAAAAATTATATACAAATAAAATAAATGATATATATAAAAATAAATAAAATAAAAAATTATTTAATTGCAAAATAAATATATAAAAATAAAAATATATAAAATATAAAAATAAATC